AAGTAAAAAAATATATCTTTTATGAAAGAAAAACTATTAATTCTTATAATAGTTTTTTTTTTTAATATGATGACTTATTCGTTTTATTATTATGGGAGAGGGTAATTGAACATAGGTTAAGACGAATTACAAAGATTACTCATATAGTTAATTTGGGTTTATGTCGGGCAGGTCTACTATGGAAGCTGTACATTTTATTGAGAGGTTTGGTAGAGACGTTTAGAGATAATAAGGATGATCTATATTTAATTTTTATTGATTTAGAAAAAGGTTATGATAAGGTTCCAAGAGATATACTTTGGAGAGTTCTTGAGAAGAAAGATGTTGATATGACTTATATTCAAGTCATTAGAGATATGTACACTAGACTGTTACTTTGTGTTCGAACTGATAGAAGATTGACCAATTATTTTCCTATTTCTGTTGAATTACATCAGGGATCGACTTTAAGCTCATATTTTTTTTGCTTTAGTTATAAGAGGATGTAGCTTGGTGTATGTTTTTTGTTGATGATATCCTTCTCGTGGATAAGATGAGAGAAGAAACCCGGGAAAAACTTAAATTATGGAGGTCTACATTGGAGTCTAAAGACCTTCATTTGAGTAGAACTAAAACTGAATACATGGAATGTAATTTTAGTAGTAGTAACTCTAGTGAAAGAAGTGCAACTTTGGGTGATCAAATTATTAAATGGTGTGAACGATTTAGATATCTCGGGTATGTTGTTCAAAGCGATGGTGATATAGATTAAGATGTTAATAGTAGAACTCAAGTTGGTTGGCTGAAGTGGAGGAATGCTTTGCGCCTTTTGTGTGATAACAAAAGTATCACTTAGATTGAAAGGAAAATTTTATAAGGTGGTGGTGAAAACTGCAATGCTCTATGGCGCTGAATGTTGGCCTTTAAAAGAGAAGCATAATTGTAAGTTTAAGTGTTGTCGAGATGAGAATAACTAGGTGGATGAGTGGCTTTACACTTAGCGACAAAATACGAAATGAATATATCTGATAGGGTTGGTGTAGCTCCAGTGACGGACAAAATTAGAGAGAGCCGTCTTAGATAGTTTGGTCACATTAAACGTCACCCATCTGATGAACCGATTAGGAGAGTAGATGTTTTAGGTTTGACTTATGTTAAGAAAGGCAGGGGTCGACCTAGGAAGACTTGGGCTTACTGTATAAAAAATGATCTTAATATATCAGAACTTAATGAAACTATGACACTAAAATTTTTTATTTGTTCTTGGCGCATCAATATATCAAGCTGGTAAGAGCTATTCACAGCCATAAAATATATTTAAAAGTAATATATAAATTATAAAAATATACTTATTATCATCTACATATAAATATAGTGTATCTATATATATCTAAATCAGAATTTATTTATGTTTAATTCATTAAATAAATAAGATTATTGTTATTATTAGTATTTGAGTCCATGACATGAATGATTGATGCAAGTTCTGATTTTTAAACACTCAAATAGAAATTCGGCAAAGCATTACTATCACATCTAGGGTTCAAAAATAGCATACCCCAACAACTTGAGACTATAAGAGACAAGTGAGCAACGGTTCAACCGACAAAGCGAATCGACTCATCAATCGACCAACCGACTGACCGAAGCACAGGCAGAAACCCCTAATCATGATTAGACGAACGGCCCATTTTTTCCACGATAGACAAGATCCTCATTCGACCGAACATCTCGATCGACCAAACACAAAGCATGATGGCCTCCAATCGATCACTCAAGTCAATTGAATTCTAACATGTCAATATAACAATTACTGTCATATCAAAATTCAAATTATAATACAAATATATAATAAAATACATATAATTTGTTAGAGCATTGATCGTATTAACACTCAAGGGTTGCTTACAAAAGACAATCCGTGATCTAACAAGTACGTATGACAATCTTTCTTAAATTTTACATAAAAATATATAATTTTTAAATTAAAAACATTTTAATATATTAATTTAGAAGTCCAATCCATATCCGATGCTGCACGGCTCCATAATTAAAAATATGCATGCATCATAGAAAATGAATCATTGACGGTAAACTAAAAAAAGAAAAAAAAAATTACAGACATACCCTCAATTCCCATCAATTTACATATCCAACACCTAAGCTTCAATTTTTTTATAAATGTCACTTTATATCTTTATAAAATGGGGTTAGTTTCACTTTTAATAATTAAATCAGTGATATTTTTAATGCGGCATAAAAAAATGAGTGATATAAATATAAAAAAACAAAAGTACAGGTGCCAGATGTGTAAATACATAAGAATTTGGTGGTATGTACGCAAATACACACCACACAATTCTTTCATGACACTCAAAGGCCGGTATCATTTTAGAAGCATTTACATACACACCACACAATTCATATATACTTACATAACCCCTAAGATTTCATATTTATATAAATAACACTCGATTCTTTAATATCACACCAAAAATATAACTATTAAATGTGAAATACACCTTTCATGCTTAGCTTCATGACACTAAAGTGTTATATTTATAAATATGAAAGTTGGGGTGTTAATTATATAAATACATGAACATTAAAGTTGATGAAATTTGGCAAAGAGAATATTGCTTGTGATGGCAGAGAAAACCCGCAACAACAAAAGCTATATGCATTCATACAAGTAGGGTTGTAAATGAGCCGAGCTTGAGCGAGCTCAGGCTTGGCTCGTGTTCGAAATCAGCTCGTGTTCGAAATCGGCTCGTGAACAATGTGTTCGTGTTCTGCTTGATTTAAATATTTGTGTTCGTGTTCGGCTCGAAATTGACTTGTTAAAATTAAATTAAGAAAAATAGATGTAAAATGTGAGATTCGAACATGAACCAAATATATACAAAAGAAAAGCTGTTCTTGTTCGGCTCGTTTATAATTCGAACTTTAAAAATTTGAGTTGTTCTTGTTCGACTCGTTTATAATTTGAACTTTAAAAATTTGTTTGTTTTCGGCTCATTCGTTAAGTAAACGAGCCGAACACGAGCTATTTAACGAGCCGAACACGAGTTGTTCGCAAACAACAGGCTTTTTTGATAGCCCTACATACAAGTGAAGCAAAATCTAGAAACCTTTACAATATAGGGACACCTTTTACCACTATTTTCTTAAAATGATTTGATTTGTATTATTTTATCAGTATGCAGCATGCATTTCATAAGAAATAATGAAAGACAATTAAAACAAAGTGTTGCCAGAACTAACTTTTTGTTGTCTTTGGTTCCAAAATTATGAATGAATTATTAAAAAGAGCACAAAAATGTGGTGAGGATGAGGTAAAATTGAAATAATCATACATGTTATGTGTGGTTTTGATGAGGGTTACGTTAAATAAGAAGCTGTGATTGCTTATCTTCTGGAGCAACCAGCTGCCACAGTGACCTGTAGGTTGAGATATCAGCTGCTTCGACTCCGATTGAAGCAAGATTACGGCCATACTCCTATTGAAGAATCCCATGAGCATTAGGAAAAATTCAATTCTCAGCAAAGCATTCCATTAAATACATAAAACTTTGTAAGAAAATATCTCTAATCAGAACTAGGTAAATTTCAGTACTTGACCAACAACCCAAAAATAAAAATTAAAAAAAAAAAAAACACTTTGGTACTAGTTTTGTAAATAATAATGTTTCGAATGTTATATATATATA